GTTCAGTAGAATGTTTTAAAGCAGGACACGTTTGGTATAAAGATAGCGCATTTTTTTTTATTGGTAAGTATTATTTCTGAACAAAGATGAAAAAACAGGAATAACAAAAGGCTTTTTAAAATCTGTTCACCACTTTTGGGTTGGCAAGCACTGTGTTTCCAATGGCCATGGGTTTGCTGAAATACCATATGGACTTTTAACACCTTTGTTGGCTTATAGTTATGGAAGATGGTGTGAATGACAATACCAGTTGATATCCAAATAACTATTTTTTATATCCATTTTTCTAAAATTAGGAGAATTCCCTGCCTCATTAGGGGAATGAGTTAAGTGCAATTTTAACCTTTCAAAATATCTGGTGTCAACCACTTTATGAGAAACACAATGTACAGGGAATTTTAATGGAAGAAAGAATTTTGTGTTGGAATAAGCTAAAGTTTCACAAGAAGACCTTAACAAAGTACTTAGGGACCTGTTTCACTAGCAATGATAGGAAAGAGGAGTAAAGAGAGGAAAGAAGGAAAAGAGAGAGGGAGGGTGGAAGGAAAAGAAAGGGAAATAGAAGAATAGGATTAATGAGTTTATGAATGAATAAGTATCATCAAATATACCTGTCTTCGTTGTGAAATACGTGTGATGTTGACTCTCTTCTATTTTTAAAAAGATCTAATTCACCCTTTCAATATTTTATTGCATCCCTAGCAATTACTAGTAACATCAGTCATAAATATTTCTTTACTCAATAAATATTTGTTGAACACATACTATTTGCTGGGTACTGTTCTAATTACTGAGAATATTTCAATAACTAAAGGAACGAAAAGATATGTTTCATGAAAAGTGAAGTAAGGAAACAGAAAGTGAGCTCAAAGACCGTGAAGAGGAGGAAATGAATGAAAAATGTGGCTGAAGGGATATGCTGATATTTGGAAAATGCTACAGCACCTCTCATTGCACTTGGCAAGATTGAGTACAAGCGTCTGTTCCTTCATCTCTGACTCACAAATCAAAGCAATTCCCAAAGCATAAACACAGGGATATACGTTTAGGTACACATCCTATGCCGCAGGATAGATTTCTCAGTCTTTTTTTATTTTTTCATTTATTTTCATTAGTTGGAGGCTAATTACTTTACTTTAAAGGAAACAATAAATCCTATCTCTTAGGGTTTTGATATTTTAATTAGATAATGAATCTGAAAGGCAAACCACAGTGCCTGACATTGAGTAAAGCTCAGTAAATATACCAACTTCCTTCTTTTCCAGTAAATCCTACCTCTCCTTCAATGTCCAGGTCTGCGACTTGTTACTGTTTGTTCTTTCCTCCACATCGGTTCAATGATGGAAGCTTCTAGAAAATTCACTTAATTGCATATTTTCCTGGAGACAGTCATTATTTCTCCCTATTTCTTGGAATCATATTCTCCTAGCCACATTGATACTCAGAGTAATGAAAGGACCCAGATGGAATGCCGAGATAAAATATTATTTTCATTTCCCTAATTAATAATAATATTAAGGTCTTTATATATGTATTAGCTATTGGATATCTTATTTCTGAGTTGGATCTCCAAGATTTTCTCATTCTTTATTATCTATTTTCTTAATGATTTAAAGGAACTTCTAACATACTCTGCATTTGAGTCCTTTTTCAGAAATATGTATTGCAAATACAGTTTATCAGTCTGTGCTTTGACTTTCAAAACTCTTAGTGGTGATTTATAACAAACACAATTTAAAAATATTTTTTCATGTTCATAAGCAACTGGCTTGGATATTTAGTTTTCTTTAAACTCTATAAATTTTTTTTTTGTTTGTTTGTTTGTTTTACCTTGGTGGCTTCTATTGCTTCTGATGTGAAGTTATCAGCTCAGTTCAGTCACTCAGTCATGTACTACTCTTTGCGACGCCATGGACTGCAGCACACCAGGCTTCCCTGTCCCTCACCAACTCCTGGAGCTTGCTCAAACTTAAGTTCATTGAGTCAGTGATGCCATCCAACCATCTTATCCTCTGTATTCCCCTTCTCCTGCCTTAATGTTTCTCAACATCAGAGTCTCTTCCAATGAGTCAGTTCTTCGCACAGGTGGTCAAAGTATTGGAGTTTCAGCTACAGCATCAGTCCTTCCAATGAATATTCAGGACTGATTCCCTTTAGAATTGACTGGTTGGATCTCCATGAAGTCCAAGGTACTCTCAAGAGTCTTCTCCAACACCACAATTCAAAAGCATCAATTCTTCTACACTCAGCTTTATTGTCCAACTCTCACATACATACACAACTACTGGAAAACCATAGCTTTGACTAGATGGACCTTTGTTGGTAAAGTAATGTCTCTGCTGTCTAGCTTTGTCATAGCTCTTCTTCCAAACAGCAAACATCTTTTAATTATTCTTAAAATGATTAAAACATTCTGATGTTTCCCAGAATACAATGTCTTGCAAACATTTGTCAAAACCAGAGTGGTGGACTTGCAGAATTCCTTATTCAAATTTATAGCTTTCCTCATAGCATTGCTCCTGAATAAGGAGATTGCTTTATAGAAAGTCAAGTGTAGCAGTGAGTGGAAGTGCTTGCTATGAGCAAACAGGTTATGGAATGGGTAATGGAAGAGGTAAATGCCAGCTATAATGTGGTCATTTGCAGGAATGAGAACAATAATACTTATGGAAGTTTGTTTTTCATTTTGATATGAATATTTTTATGTGTTAAATTAACCAATTTTTAACTCCCCTCTCCCATTTCCCTGCATGTAGTAACATAAGGAAGGTATGTTAACATAACTCAATCTTATATCTTATTTTATCTCAGTAGTGAAGATACAGGATTCAGTGGGAGAGTGTGGCTAGCTAGAAGATAAAATAACATCACCTACAAATGGATAAATGAACTTGCTCTAATCTTTGAAGGATAAGGTTAAGAGGTTTTGGGTTGAATGAGGAATTACTGCATCATAATAGCAAGAAGTGTGGTGCTGGAGAAGACTCTTGAGAGTCCCTCAGACTGCAAGGAGATCAAAGTAGTTAATCCCAAAGGAAATCAACCCTGAATATTCATTGGAAGGACTGATGCTGAAACTGAAACTCCAATACTTTAGCCACTTGTTGAGAAGAGCCAACTCATTGGAAAAGACTGAGCCTGATGCTGGGAAAGAGTGAAGGCAAAAGAAGAGGGCAGCAGAGGATGAGATGGTTGTATGGTACCAGCAAATCAATGGACATGGATTTGAGCAAACTTGGGAGATAGTGGAAGATAGAGGAGCCTGGTGAGCTGCAGTCCACGGAGTCACAAACGGTCAGACACGACTTAGTGACTGAACAGCAACAACAACATGAGCAAGAAGCATGGCTTTCCAATCATCCTTTTTCAAAAGTGGTTAAAAGAGTACAGATGGATGACAAGTTGACAAAGAGGGTACTGTAGCAGCTTTGATCTATCTTAACTAACTGGAAGTATCTTTCCCAGAATGTGCTTTTATATTGTTCAGACTTAGGGTTGGCCACCAAAGGAACTTGTCTAACATTTGGAAGGTCATTGTGATGAAGCAGCCACAGTTTTTATGTTTGGGTTTTGGTGGAGGGCTCCAGGGACTATGGTTAATCATACATGTTGCTGCCAATCTGATAGCTCTTCTTATTGTTGACTCACAACTCCTTCACTTCCAACCAAATCTCCTCATCTTTCTTTGTCTTGGGCCAAGTATGTATGTAGCATGATGCCAAATGACACCTACTTCTCCTAAGGTCGCCCACTACTGTGAAATGAGGGAGGTGAGACGTAGCCAAGTTTTAGTGTGTCTTTGCGGGCTCCACTATCTTCTTGGTTCTAGTTTGTCATTTGAGTCACAGTTCGTCCATGCTTCAGTCTCTATCCAACGTTCTTCTACAAATATTACTCCAACTGACTAACACTAAATCCAGTCTCAATACCAGATACTAAGATAACAGCTTTGTATATAATCTTCCACCAGACCTAGCAATTGTCTGAATTCTAATCTTTATAACTAATTCTTATTCAACACCACTAGTGGTTCTGCTTCTCTGATTGTACCTTAAGGGACAAAAGTCTAAGAAGAAAGAACTAAGGAAATTATTTTCATGATGATTCATGATAACTATACCCAGATTTGTGATGTGAGTGTATTTTAGGTAAACTGTCACTTTTATGGAGCAAGTTTACAGCTTTAGACAACTTTGCACATCTTCTATACTATTGACTTAAAGTCAAGAATTCAAGAGGAGAACGTATTAGTCGACAGTCACTCTGGACATCTGCTTCCAAGTGACATCAAAGAAGCTTTTATTTAGAATTAAATCCTCTGATCCAGACTACAGATGAATCAACCACAGGACTACCATTTCTTGTCTGGGGTCTGCAGGTGTGCATTTCAGCTGGGATCCTTGCAGCAGGGGGGCTCTCGTTTATTTAGTTCTGGGGGTTTTATTCAGCTTTCCTATAACTTCAAGCACTGTGAGTCCCAGAGGGCACAGAAGTACTTTGAAGAATCTTCCAGCTCTAAGGCTGGAATGGCGAGGCTGATGGATTTATGAGCTTTCTGGAAATTTACAGAATAGCGGCCATCCCTTGCATTCCCATCATCTGAATACTGACGAATAAGATAAGTCATCTGTCCACTGGGAAGCTGCTTGTACCAAAAAAATGTAGTACTTGTACATGTCCCAACTTGTTTCATACCGACAGTTCAGGGTGACTGTCTTCCCACTTCACTGAGTATGTGTGGTTGGTCTTGAGTAACACTCTGGGCCACACCAGATCCTATGGGGAAAAAAAACACAAGAAAACAGAGCTGAAATAGTGAACAAAATAATGTAGAAATTATGCTAATTTTGGACCCAAATATTTACAAACCAAACTGAAATCCTAAGATGCTTGCTTTTCTCCAGTCCTCCTTTCCTCCCCAAGTCCCTGTGAAGCACCACACGTCTGTGTGCAGTCCTTTCACCCTGAACACTCACACCCATGCTTGGAAGCATCCCTACCAGAGAAGGTGAAGGCCAGGAGCACCCAGAGCAAACTCGAGAGCGGCATGAGGCATGAATTCCCCAGCACAAGTGTGTCTAATTCTGCATCAAGCTGAGATTGCGGTGTCTGAAAGTGCGTGGCAGCACATTTACACAGCGCCTGGTTCCTGTGTGGCTCCCCCCCCCCAGACAGGAAGTGCCATTTGTCCTGTTCCTAGACCAGCTGGTCTGTGCTCAGAAGGAAAACAGTTTGGCTCACCACAAAATTTTACTTTGTCTACTCGTGTTTCCCTGGTCATTAAATTTGGCAGATCCTGAAAAAGGGCTTGAAAAAAGCAATTAATATTAAAGATTTGAATTGAGGGTAACTAAAGATTAAACAAGTTGACATACACTGGGAATTATTCAGTAAAATTATTTGCCATCCTGTTTAAGATATAATTTTGGATAGCCTATGAAACTTTCTTGAAATCTACTGATTGGTCATTCATTTAGCCTATACTTACTTTTCTCCATCCAGAATCTACTGACTGTTTTAAAACATTCACGATCTTAGGCCTTCTGGGAGAAAAGCAATCGTATCAAAATAATCAATGTATCTCTTTTGTTTTTTCACTGAGTTCCAGGGCTCTACTTAGATTTTTCAATAAATAAAATTACTGTGACATGAAATGATTTTAGAAAATCAGCCCATCTGAATTTCAGAGCCTATTCAGTGGTTTATACTTAAATGAAATTATAACCAGAATAAAATATTATTCTTTTGAAATCTGATATTGACTTCATATCTATCAAGAAATTGATATTAATATAATTTTACAAAAATATCATAGCCTTATACATCAATTTTGATATACACTCTTAGGTTTTCATACATCACTCTAAGAAATTTTATCACATGTATAAGTTCTTGTACCACTGCTGAAATCATGACACAAAATTGTTTCATCTCTCTAAAGAAATACTCTTTGAATACCCTCCCCAGCCCTGCAACTCTTTATAACTCTGCTAACTACTCATCTCCTTTTCATCTTTATATTTTGTGCCTTTGAGAATGTAGTTTAAGCAAAATCACACCATGTAAGCATCATAAAAATCCAATAAGTGTAATCATATACCATGTGGCCTCTGAGATTGACTACTTTTTCATTCAGCATAACATCCTGAGATCCATCTAGGCTATTGTTTAGTCTCTAAGTCCTGTCTGACTCTTTTGTGACCCCATGGACTGTAGCCCACCAGGCTCCTCTGTCTATGGAATTTTCCAGGCATGAATACTGGAGTGAGTTGCCTTTTCCTTCTCCAGGGGATTTCTTGACCCAGAGATTAAACCCACGTCTCCCACTTGGCAGATGGATTTTTACCACTGAGCCACCAAGGAAGCCCCATCTATTGCACATATCAGTAGTCTATTTCTTTTAATCACTACAGACTGTTACCATCTTATGATGTTCTGACTCTGGATCTCTTTACCTTACAGTGCAAAGACAGTGATGAACTTTCAGTAGAAAGTAGAAACCATACTTTGAATTTTAAATATGATCTTTCCCCATGCTAGCAATGTGTGGTATAACATTCCCCAGTGATTCTGGGCAGCAGCAGTGAGCTGAGCTTCTGGCCAGCCCTGAGATCAGGAGGGTAAACAACAGACACTCTTACATTCACTCTGTACTCACACAACCATTCTGTTTTTTACTTTTAGTGTGCGTGTTTTAAGTTCCTGAAGTTGTGTCCAACTCTTTGAGATAGCATGGACTGTAGCCCACCAGGCTCCTCTGTCCATGGGAGTCTCCAGGCAAGAATACTGGAGTGTGGTGCTGTGCCCCCCTCCAGGGGATCTTCCTGATCCAGGGATTTAACCTGCATCTCTTATGTCTCTGCTTTAGCAGGCAGGTTCTTTATCCATTAGAGCCACCTTGGAAGCCCCACTTTCAGTACAGTACTCAATAAATTATATGAGATTTTCAGCATTTTAATATAAAATAGACTTTGTGTTAGATGATTTCACCCAGCTGTAGGTTAATGTCGGTGCTGAGCACCTTTAAGGTAGACTGGGTTCAATTCAGTGGGTTAGGTATATTAGATGCATTTTCCATTTATGATCCTCTCAACTGAAAATGGTTTATTGAGACACAATTCTATTGCAAGTTGAGAAAAACCTATAAATAACATGGCATTGTACAGATGTATTACAATGGATTTATTTGTCTATTCACCCAGTGAAGAACATTTGGCTGGTTTCCAGTTTTTGATCATCAGAAATAAAGCTGCTATGAATATTTAAGTACAGATTTTTGAATGAATATAAGTTTTTCATTTTTCAAGCATTAATACCCAGGAGTGTGATTGCCGAGCTGTAAGGTAAGTGAATATTTAAGTTTAGGTGAAACTGCTGAACTTTTTTCCAGAATGGCTGGACCATTCACCCACCAGCAATGCATGAGTGATCCAATTTCTCTGCAGTTTTGCCAGAACTTGGCATTGTCAGTATTTTTAATTTTAGCCTGTGAGAAATGTGAAGTGTTATCTCCTAACATGCTAATCATCTCTTTATATTCTCATTTAATTACCAGATAGCTTTTTGGTAAAGTGTGTGTGTTAATCTTTTGTCCAGGTTTCAACTGGATTGTTTGTTTTCTTCCTGCTGAGTTCAGAGAGTTCATTGTATTCAGAATACAGTCTTTTGATGAAAATGTATTTACATATATTTCCTGCCATTCTGTGGTTTATCTTTTTCCTTCTCTTAATAGTGTCTTTTACAGAGCAAACATTTTTACTTTTGATGAAATCTAAGTGATTTTTTTTTTTATGAATTGTGCTTTTGGTGTCATGTCAAAAGTCTTTTTGTCCAGACTTGGGTCGTGAAGATATTCTCTTTATGTTTTTCCTAAAAAATTTGTAATGTTACACTTCATACCAGGATGTATGGTTCACTTTGAGACTATACTCAAATTTTTGTATAAGGTATGATATTTAGGTCAAGTTTCAATTATTTCCCAAGAATATCCAATTGTCCTAATCTCATTTGCTCATAAAACTATGTTACCACTCTAGAATTGAAAGCGACACATGTACCCCAGTGTTCATCACAGGACTGTTTACAATAGCCAGGACATGAAAGCATCCTAGATGTCCATCGGCAGATGAATGGATAAGAAAGATGTGGTACGTATACACAATGGAGTATTTCTCAGCAATTAAAAAGAACACATTTGAATCAGTTCTAATGAGGTAGATGAAACTGGAGCCTATTATACAGAGTGAAGTAAGTTAGACAGAAAAATACCAATAAAGTATATTAATGCATATATATGGAATTTAGAAAGATGGCAACAACGACCCTATATGTGAGATAGCAAAAGAGACACAGATATAAAGAAAAGACTTTTGGACTCTGTGGAGAAGGCGAGGGAGGGATGAAAGAATAGCATTGAAACATGTATATTACCATATGTGAAATAGATGACCAGTCCAAGTTCAATGCATGAAACAGGGCACTCAAAGCTAGTGCACTGGGACCACCCAGAGGGATGGGATTGGGGGGAAGTGGGATGGGGGTTCAGGATGGGGGACACATGTACACCCATGGCTGATTCATGTCAATGTATGGCAAAAACCACCACAATACTGTAAAGTAATTAGCCTCCAATTAAAATAAATAAATTAATTAAAAAAACCCACCTTGTTATCTCTATTGAATTGTCTTTGCATTTTGTCAAAAAATAAGCTTTCCTGACCTGTGTGGATCCACTTCTATACAATGACTCACTAACATAAACTTGTTAATGATGCTCTTTCATTCCCTTAGAATGTAACAGAACCTGCAGAATAGTTCTCTTTTTTATTTCTTATATTTATAATTTGTATTTTTTCTTTTTTCCTTTGATAATTCTACCTAGGAATATATCAAGTTTATTAATTATTTTAACAAAATTAACTTTGTATTTCACAGTTATCTCCATAGATTTCTTTGTATTTCACCAATTAGACATTTTATTATTTACTTCTTTCAGTTTATGTTGGGTTTAATTTGATTTTCTATCATCTTTTCTTAAAAGCCTTGATAGTAGTTTATCAACCTTTTTTCTTTAGTAATATAAGTATTTAGAAAGATAAATTTCTTTCTATGTATTGTTTTAGCTGCATCTCATACATATTTAATGTGCTCTCACATTTACTTTCAAAATATCTTCTAGCATCCATTGTAATTGTTTCTTTAACCTAGGGTTGTTTAAAGTTATAGATTTTAAATAGATACCAACTATTTGGGAGTTTCTAGAGATGTCTCTTTGCACTTAATTTTCCATATCGTTTCCATTTTGGTCAAAAAATAAATTCTATATGATATCAGTTTTCCTAAATATATAAAGACTTTTTATGCCGAAACAAATTGTGTGTCTGTGTGTATTTCATCTGCTCAGCAGGGTGTGTCTGGAGCCTCAGCTGCAGGTTTGGGTACATGCTGCAGGTGCCCGGGGAGCACCGTGCACTTGCTGCACAGAAGTAGGTGCTGAGTCTCCAGGCTGGGAAGTTATGATGTGCAATGAGAGCTTTGGGCACTCTTACTGAGGAAAACGGCGAATCTTCCCTCTTCCATTTCATTCACAATTGAACCTATGGCTACCAAGAATGCAGGGCCTTTACCAGGGTATTGCTGGTACCACAGCAAACAATTAAATGCACTCTTCTCACAACCAGAGTTCAGAATGGAAATCTCCCCTTCCTGGACTGTCAGAGATCGAGGGCTCTGTTTCACCTGCTGTTGGTCACTTTTTTCCTTTTGTTGTCCATTCACCCCTTCTTAAAGAGATAAAAGCCATTAATTCCATAAAATATATTTCTTTTTTAAGAATATCTGCATGAACTTGTTTGTAACCCAATTTTCTCAGTCCTCCTAATTAATGAGATATCCTAGGTTTTCTCCTCCACAGCTCACAGCCTAGCTGAAGCCACAGAATCATAAGCGATGCTCCCAGTATCTTGTCCACTGTTTCTGGCACCAGTGCTCAGTGGCAACCCAAGATCCTCTTCTGTTCTTCTCAGCCAGCTAGAACTCTGACTTTAAGC